CCATATACTAGCCAAGGATGTCGGCGGGTCACAGGGAAAATGGGACATTAAGGACCGATCAGGCCTTTTCCAATTCACATTTATAGTAGGGTTGGTCATGGAAATCAATCGAATAAGCAAACATGTGTTGGCCATTGGAACCGACTAAATTTCGTTGAGTAGCTTCAAAAACTATAAGGAATTACCGAATAAAAATTCAGTCAGCCTATTTCGCTTAAGGTGATTTAAGGATGAGTAAGCTTTGCGACGCTATTGAATTTCACTTATCCTTGCTTCTCAAAAGACTCGGCATCGAATCCCGTAGAGCGCGCTGCAATCCACCATAGATAAAGGAATAACTTGGCCCAGGGGAAATCGTGGTGGTAATGTAGCGAGATTGTGCTGCAGTATCCAAGTTAGAATCTTGCAGAGAGTGCTAATGAGACCTAGGCGAGGACAAACTGCAGTCCCCTCTGGGCCAGAACACCTATGGGGAATCAAGGCTGAATGAGATTCAATGAAAACGTGAGGCCCACTCATATAAATATGGTAATAACTCAACTATCAGTCCTATATCACGTTATGTGACCTAGGGTGAATATAACTGTAAATTTAAGTAATAGTGGATAAAAGAAATGTGGCAAGATAGCACAGAGCGATCAGGACAGTGGGTGGAAGAAGGTTATCAAGTGAAGTCTTCATAATAAAGAGGTTAGGATCAGTGTTTGGAATTCTTAAGAAAAGAGTAATGCCAGAAATTTGCCAATTCGTAAATAAAGGGCTTATTTCGATAAACAGGTAAAAGGGATGGATATTATTTTGCTTAGATCACCGGATAAAAAGCATGCTAAAACTTTAAGAAAGCTTTAAAAGACAAATATTTAAGTGTACTAAAAACACCAACCTTGGTTAAAATGGTGTAAGGGAAAAGATTCTGGTGAACAAATCGCCTGTTCAAATGGCAGAAGTGGGCGGAGGACAGAGAATCCATATCGACGGACCACAATAATGCCAGCTGTCATAGGGACCATAGAGGAAATCGAGATTGAGGATGGACAAGATAGTGGCAATGTTCCTTCGTCCAAGGAAGTAATACAATGTGAGGGAAAGTTTGAGAGGCACGAGACCGGGCCAGATAAACCCGGATTGGCGGCCGACATAAAAAAAGAGGAGATGGCAAATAGACCAAGAGGCTGAATTGCCTCGGCGTGAAAATCGAGAATCGAAGAATAGAAGCTAGAAAGCATAGAATTCACTTCTGAAGCGTTGATGCGAGGTCGGATCTGAATTGATTGCGACATAATAAAAGACAAATAACCTCAAATAAGAAAAAGATAATTAGCCTAAGTTAACTTGAGCATTAATATATTGGATACCTCTGTCTCCATTGTTCGGGAAATTTCTGCGCGAAGTTCATTAACATTGTATCCTAAGGCAAAAACGTCAGGAGATAGGCGATATGTACGACGCAGGATCTAGACATCAAAAGCGGATCGAATTTTGAATCCGAAATTAAAGACAAAATTTGTACTAGTAAGAAATATCAGTTAATCATGATTTGGACACTTTTCGATTAAAGCAGATTTAGACTGGATATTAAGGCAAGATATAGGAAAAATTAAAAGGGATTGGGGCCCTAGTGTAAATTAGAGGTTCGCAAAATGGAGTATGCATTATGGTGTGTGTTTGATATAAGTGTAGAATGATCATAAATGAGCCCCTGCAGGGGCGGCGTGACAATATGATGAGGTTGCAAAACGAAATCAAACCACTTGCATATAAATATTGTATTTACATGATTGATATAACAGGAAGATACCCTAATTCAAAACAACCACGTATGAAATATTATTGAGAAAAATCAGGTCCTATCCAACGTTCAAGAAGTTGCAGTTTGTCAAACAGTATGGAACCAGGCTTTGACTTATTCTAAAAATCTGAATATAGTTCTATGCTCATCTCCTGAAATTATTTTTTACCCAAAATGTAATTGCCTTCTGCCTCTCACTTAGTATCCAGCCTAAATCTGTATATAAATGCTAAAATGTGAATTAAATATTCTCATGCTAACTATATTGGTGCGAATCGTGACATGAAGTTTCATAATAAATCCTTGTATCTAAATGAATAGCTGATTTCTCAGGTGGATCATAATAAATACAAGTTTAAAGAAGTCTTTAAATTGTTGTGCTCAATTTTGAGGAAGCAGGATGAAAATTAAATAAGGCCATTTTAGCAAGGAACATGTAAAATAAATGAACGGTGAAGACAAACCTTAAAAGCATTATAGATAGCTATTCGGGAGAAGCGACCTGGCCTAAAAACGAAATCAAGGAGAGCGAAAGTATGCTGTTCAAAGGATGCCGCAATTTCCACAGAATTAGAATCAAATGGAGTCAAGTTGAGGCAATAATCTTCCATATTTGGACCACGACTATCCAGCAGGGCTGAAGGAGGGTGTCGTTGCCAGGACGAAACTCTGAAAAGAGATATAAAAGTGAATCATATTAAACTAAACCAAAATTAATGAGCCTTTCAACCAATTAAAACATACTCTTCACAAATGCCAAACCCGGGAGGGAGCGCCAATGCTTCAAAGGAATCACCTTTCATGTGAGAAGGAAAGCTGGTCCAACGGAGGCAAAAGTGATTTTGAAGGTCACCGGCAAATTGAGACCTCGACTGACAACCCAACCACCAGATACCTTGAGAAAAAAGCAGTTATTGATATTTTATACCATGTTAGATATCTTGAGAAAAGAGTTAACGTAATTTCACAATTGATCCCGTCTATTTGATATTTAAAATATTAAGTGAAAATCACTTAGTATTAGTCATCCAAACCGTCTTTAAAGAAATGGGAGAACCAGAATGATAGAACCGATACAGAAGGTTAGACAAATTTATGAGGGATCTGAACGAATAATATGCCATATTGAGTTGAATGGGATTTGATTTATTTATTGAGTTCCACTACACCATGTAGTACAAAGATCTGCTCTAATTAGCATCTGCAGCATAAATGGTAATGAGGAAAATTAAGGCAAAGCAATGGTTAGAATAACTAAGATAAATATGGCTTCCAAAGCATTTCTCAGAACTTAAGCATCCAAGGTGATGAGACATAAGCGAAGCGCAATGAAATTAGAATAAAAAATTAGACCATCTCCTCGATTAGTCGGAAGCAGAATTATATCCATCCAGTGAAGCAATTAAAAACTGGTTTAAATAGGCAAGCATCAGACTATGAGAGATGTGGAACGACAAATTACTAATGATAAAAAAAATCTAGAGTAAATTCTACCTCTTCGATTTTTGTTTGCGGGTGAGTAAGCTTTTTATCTATGAGATGTATTCATATAGTTTTATTTAAGATGATAAATGGACTGGTAGTCGAATTTCCCCACAATGATGAGTAAATCTTAAATTTCCATTTAATTTCACATAGCATTGCTCTCCCAAGTGATAAAGGGACCTTAAGAGAACTATAGAAAGTACATTTCATAAATATGATCCGTTGGTAGCCATGAAAACTTGCTTATAAAACGAAAAATAAGTAAAACAGTCGACTGCTCTAGAGCATGCAACTTTGTTTCATCGGCAACCCCACCACAGAATGTAATATGGAAAAATGCCTGGCCCTTGTTGAAATTCACATCTTCCCTGCGGCCCAAGGGCACTCATGGCAATGTAACATTGATAACGTGTCTAGATTATACCCAGGGGGTATTGATGAGACCTATGCGAGGTCCAACATGGATGGTAGTACGTTTTGGGAAAGCAAGGCTATATTAAATTTAATGGGCACGCAGTCTACTTATAGCTACCCAGAACGTTTTCTTGTAGATTATAGATTAGAATAAGTCACATTTCGTCTCCTTAGATAAATTTGCATTGCCGATGATGAATTAAGTAAATTTAGTGGAATAAACATTATTTTGAAATTGATAGTCTGAACATATTGTTATAACGTAATCTTAGCAGCCACTAGGGAGAAATGCGCCAATCATCAGGTAAATATCAAGTAAGCGCCTTTCGCCTTTCCTTATGGTCTAATAAGTTTGTTTATGCAAAGACCGACAGTCAGCCTAATCAATCTAAAGGATATCTATTAGCAGTACCCTATCAATTCTCCTTACTCTCAATCTACCCTACTTTACTTAGTAAATAAAGATAATTTTCTTAATCAAATAAAATTGAGACGATTAGAGGAATAGTTTAGACTAGGTTTTTTATTGGAATGATAGGGACTGTACACAATAAGTATAGGTAAAAACGTTAACTTCGCTCCGCCATGTGGCCAAGAAAGCAGTTCTAATAATAATGAAAACGTAAGAAGTATTTAAATCAAATATTATAAAAATTCAAATATAACTAACCTGTTAGAAAAGTTGGCTTAGAAAGATGTCTATGATCTGAAGGCAGATGAGAATTTGAGACAGAATGAGGATAATCCATGACTTCACTGCTTACGTCGACGTCATCACCATCCAAGGCTATATCATGATCACTTTGAAGCTTCAAGCACAAATCGACACTCGTCAGTTTCATTGGTAAGAAATCAAGTAAATTCACATCGCTATTAGAAAAATTGCCCAAGCGTTGGGGATTACAGATTTGGTATTCCTCGGCTTCTTCATTAGTTCCTTCTTCTTCACTATCTATTAGAGTGCTAACAATCGAAGGCAAAGGATGGGGGCTTGCACCAACAATTGAATCAAGATCACTGACTACTTGGACAGTTATTATCTCAAGGCATTCCCGATCGCGAGCAAGGGCCCGAGTAAGATCAAAGCGTAGCCAAATCCATAGATTTGGAACCCCATTGATAGATTCATTTATGGGAGTAAGAGATAGGAAAACGAGTAAACGAAGATCGTTGAGAGGATAGGCTTGTGAATGAGAATTAAGCAATCGGACTCGATGACAAATTCCATGGGAAAATTTTGGAGAACCACTATTACCAGATGCCTCAAATCCAGGGTAGCCCACTTCAGACAATTCGGTGAGTAAATCAAATATGGCGAAACAAGATCGGTTCTAGGAAATAAATATTTATAATTTAGTATAGTGATAGGTTAACATAATCTTGGTAAGCAGCAATATAATGACAGCATAGGCGTTGCAATTTTGAGTAAGGGATATTTCCCACTATAATCAAAATATGCATATGTATATGCTATAATGGGCCAATAATAAAAATTGGGAAAACACATTCAATATAGAAAAAATAATTTGGCCAATGAATGAGCCGTCATAATAGCTTTGTAAAGATAAAGGTCTTTGAAGGATTGCAAAACTATCTGACGTAGGGTGACGTACAAATCACGATTTATTGGCCGCCAATTAGAGAAAATCTCCCAAACGTGATGATTTCACTTAAAAATTCTTGTTCATTCGTTAACTTGGTCGACGAGCAGGAGAAAGTGGGGATTTTCTTGTAAGTTCTGATAACGAGTCCACATAGAGTGATATTACTGTAGAAGATACCACATAGGGTCAATAATCAAAATCAGACCAATACCCGGAGAATTTAAGAAGTAAAAAGTTAAGCGGAGTCAATAAGGATATTGAGAAATTTAGATGCAGTGCACATATTTTACCTTTAGTGACAAGCTGTACGAACATGAGGTTTAGCTATTGGATCGTGCTTGTAACCAATTTTAGCAAATAATTGCATGGCTAAATACGAAGAGCGCCTAATTAAAGAGACACTTTCAGTCCCTAAATGAGTTGTTCATCATATGGACAACTTTGCAGTTTTGCAGCATAACGAAGGGAACCTGGAAAATTACCTTGTTTTGATGAACAGAATAGACGGAAGGATGAAATTTACCATCAAGTTAGAGGAAAAAGTTGGTTTACCTCTTCTAGGTATCCTAGTTAGCAAAGGGAACAAAATTCGTTAGAGACTTGCATAGGGAAGCCACAAATGTAGCTTTCTTTCCAAGTTCTTTTCAAAGCATACTTATGGGGTTAAAGTAGGTGTGAAGCCTATGGCAATAATGAGCCAAGCATCAAGACCAGGAATAAAGAAAATTATGATTGAGACCAATTATCCACGGGGACTGATTGAGAATATTGTCAAATAGGAGGGAAATACATATTTTGG